GAATTGCACGGAGTTTCGAGGTGGGGGCCCTCGGGGCGCTGGAGGGCGGCGGCGGCGTCTCCAGGCGGGCAGCGCGCCAGGAGCGTGGGCGACCAGGGCGCCCCTAACCCCGGCCGCCCCCGGCCACCTCCCTGCAGCACTGGGCTGTGAAGCCGAGGGTCTACCCGGGCAGCAGGCGGGGCCCGCTAGGGCCCGGGGGCTGCGCGGTGCGGCGCTTGGAGCTGCCGGTGTGGAGCGCGGAGCCGGCCCGTGGGCTCCCCTGGGTTGGTCGCCGGCGCGCCCTCGGCTGTGACTCTGACTCCAGGCCGCGCGCGGGACGCTGCGTCGCTGTCGCCGTCGCCGGGCCCGCCGGGTCTAGTGGTCCTAAACATTTCACAATTGCGCCACAGAACTGTTGAACTGTTAAGAACCACTGGACCCAGCGCGCAAGTCCGCGGCACTGTCAGTTTGCAGAGCTGCAGAGAGAAGAGCCCCAACGCCCTTGGGACCGCCCGCGGACCCCGGGGGACCCGCCCCTGCGCCCGGATCCCAGCCGGCCGAGCGCCCCCGGCCCTGCTGCAGCCGCCCGGCCCCGATGCCGCCCCTGGCGCCTCAGACGCCCCGGCCAGGCGCAACAGGGGATCCCGGCCGCAGAGTCCAGCCCCGCCGCGTCCTCGCCGGCCCCGACGTCCCCTCGTCCCGCCGGCCCCGCGTGGCAGGCGGCTGCGCTCCAAGCGGCAGCCGCCAGCGCCGCGGCGCCTTTTTATGCCGCGCGGCCGCCCTTCCCGGCGCCGGAATGCGCCCGCGCCGCGCTGGCCCGACCGGTTTTTCCGGGAGGGGCGGCTCCGGGCCCGCAGGTCCCGCGACAGATCCTCCACGGTCGGGACCTGCTCCGCGCGCCCGCGCGGGGGTGGCCCTGACTCAGCAGCCGCCCCGCCCGCCTGGCGCCCTCGCCTCCAGCGCCTGGCCTGGGCGCACCTGGCCTCCCGGGGTCGGGGTCCCCGCTGGGAAGCGCGCGCACCGTCTGGTCTGGGCCTGGGGCGCTTGGGCGCATGGAGGGTCCGGGGCTCCACCTAAGCTGCGTCGGGGCCCAGGGCGGCCCGGGCAGGTGAGGACCAGGCCCGACGGGAGCCCAGGGCTGGGCCTGCCCCTCTGGGTGTGGGGGCGGCTGGACACACCCACCGCGGCCCCTCTCACTTCAAAGGGAACTTCGTGGGAGGGGGAAAGAGAAAGTGAAACTGGAGGAGGGAGGGAGGGGACCGTCCAGCAGGTTTCTGCTTCTCAGACCCTGAACCCCAACGCGGCAGCCCACGGGGTGGGGGGGAGCCCGGTACCTGCCTCCTCATTTCCCACGCGGGGGGGAGGGGCGCCCTGCCTCCTCACGCAACAGGAGCCTGCGCCTTGCTCCCCCGACACACAGCCCAGCCCCGAACGAACGCCCTGGCGCAGCTGGCCCTGCCGGCCCTGCCCACTTAGTCACCTGGAGGTGTCCCGGCCTGACCAGTGGCGCCTCCCAGGGACTCTGTTTCAGCAGAACACAGCAGTTGAGGGGAGGGCTCCGGCTCTCGGAAGTACAGAGAAGGAGGGGGAGGTGACCAGCTTAAGCACTTGCGCCAAGTCTGGAGCCACTGCTGTGCCTGTGCAGTCCTGGGCAGCAGGGCTGTGACACGCCATCCCACCGCCGCCCAGCCAGGAGCCCAGCGGCCTCTGTGCTCAGGGGCCAAGGTCGACCCAGACCAGAACACAGCACCAGACCTGAGGGACCCCTAGACACTTCCACACGTGCTGTGTGTGGCTTAACTATGGCAGCCGCCCTGGAAAGGGAATCAGAAAGGTTTTGTTATTTCCATTTTGCAGTTGGGGAAACTGAGGCCCGGGGGGGACAGTGACTTCTGGGGATTCCACAGCTCTTGGTGGTAGAGAGGGGACAACAGGCCTTGGCATTGCTGCATCTGTGGGTCTCAGGGCCTGTGCGTGGCATCCAAGCGGCTGCGGCATGGAGGTGCGGGTAGAAGTAGGGACACGGGGGCTTGAGATCCAGAACAGGAGCTTGGGAGCTCCTCCCCCTCCACAGCTGCAGGGGCAGGAAGAGCCCAGCTCTCCTGTCACCCAGGCTGGAGTGCGGTGGTGCAATCATGGCTCACCACAACCTCCAACTCCCGGGTTCAAGCGATTCTCCCACCTCAGCCTCTAGGTAGCTGGGACCACAGAAAAAAACCACCACACCTGGCTAATTTTTGAATTTATTTTTTACAGACAGGGTTTCGCCATGGTGGCTGTTCTCAAACTCCTGAGCTCAAGCCGTCCACCTCCCTCAGCCTCCCTCCCAAAGTGCTGGGATTACAGGCGTGCCCGGCCACCTCTCCTATTCTTAATTCTAAGCCCCGGTCTAGTCCGGTCCTGGCAGACTCCTGACACACAGCCACCTGGGTGGGCTTGCCTTGCGCAGCAAACATGGCTCCCGTGCCCAGCATCCAAGGGCACTGAGAGAAGACAGAGAGAAGCTGACAAGCACCAGCACCTTCAGTCCCCACCAGCCGCAGGAAACACTGGTGTGTCACCAGAAGGGGAACTTCCTCGCATGCATGAGAAGTCTGGTTACCTCCAGCAGGGGAGTTGCGGCCCTGCAGGGCCCTCAACTAAGGAGTCTGATTTTAGGATAGAAAATGCTGATTAGAACGACAGTAGACGTGATGGAGAGATGCTTCCCAGGGATAGCCCTGAGATCCAGGTGATTTGTGGTGGGCTGTAGGAAGCAAGGCCTCCCCCAGCGTGAAATTACCAGGTGTGAGCAACACCACCCCGCTGTGGGGAGGTGGGTCCCACACGCACCAGGCACCCAGCTGTGCCTCATTCCTGTGTCTCCCATGGCCTCATGCCACAGCAAGAGTCGAGGGGGCCCTGATTCACAGCGCTGCTCTGCCCTGTGCCAACACAGAGCCCTGGGCACAGGACGGGGCCACTCTGCGCCATAGCTTCCTCGGCCATGAAGTGGGAGAGGCAAGGACCCAGTGCCCTCCAAGGCGCACAGTGGGGACGAAACACACCAACATGGGGCAGGACACCACGCTCCAAGCCTGTCTGTCCCGCTGTTCCCGCTGCACACCAGAGATCCAGAGGCCTCGGGGCCAGGTCACTGCCCCTCGAAGAGCCCAGGGAGCCCTGAACAGCGGGCCTGCACCCCCTGCCACTTCTGGGTGATTGTAGAGGAGTCCCCTTACCCAGGGACCCTCTGACCTCTCCCCAAGGGCCACAAACAGCCCCCGAGGAAGCTCCCAGACTCAAGCCTATGACTCTTCATAGCCTCCTGAGACACTGGCCAGTCCTGGCTCCCTGTGGTAGGGCCCTGCACCCCACAAGGCTTCGGAGGGTCTGAAAATGCAGGTGTGGCCTCCCCCTCCAGCCCTGTGAGGAGCACTCCCCATCTGCCCAGCCCCTCCCCGCCTCTGTGGTCCTCAAGCCATCTCTGCCAAACTCCGTCAGTGACCCAGTTGGAGAAAGGCCAGCTTGGTAAGTGCTCCCTGCGGGACACGCAGGCTGAGTGGCACTTTCCACACTGCAGGACACTCACCCCAGGCATCAGCGGCTGTGTCTACACTGGCAGGTTGGCACCTGCTCTGGGAGGGTGCTGCCATGTGGGCTACCGTGAGCCACCTGAAGCTTTCACAACCTGGGGCTCCCAGGGCCTGGAACAGCGCTGAGCGGGGCAGTGTGAGTGACAGGCTCTGCCCAGCCCTCGGGACCGAGCCAATCAGGTGGGCTCAGCCCAGGGATGTTGAGGTGGTCTCCCCAGTCCCCACCTGCCCCAGGTGTTTTGTCCGTTGTCCCGCTGCCTCCCGAAAGGCCCTCCGAGGGTCCTGGCCGTCCCGGGACAGCAGAGGCTCCTGGCTGTCGGGCGCTGTACCACCATCCCTCCCCCTGCAGCCCCCACGGGCCTCACCAAGGTGTGCAGCGAGGGCCTCCGCAGCCCCGCCATGCCATGCTCTCGTGGCGTCACCTTGTTGTGCAAGGCCCAGGCACACCCGTGTCGGGGTGAGGACAGCAAGGATGCGGGCGGCAGTGCCAGCCAGGCTTGGGAACCAGGCTGAGGAGCCCGGGGTGTGCCTGGCTGCCAAGGGCCAGCTCTGGGGTCTCACTTTTGCCCTCCTGGGCCTCCAGTCCAGGGACCAGCCAGAGGGACAGACAGGAACTGTCCCCTAGGCAGGTAGAGAGGCCTGGCGGGAGGCAGCTCCCAGGCTCCTCACACCAGCAAGAAGGGGTCAGGGGCTGGGGGTGGCAGCAGGAGTCCCTGACCATCCCAGGCCCATGCATGCACACATGGCAGGAGCCAGGGGTCCACACCCCGATTTCAGCCCCAGCTGAAAGAAGGCACGAGGCCGCCCCACAGCACCCCAACTGGGCAGCAGCAGGGACCACCCCACGCACCCACCTGCCCAGGCTGTGCCAACAGGCCGGCCCAGGTCACCCCTTCCCTTGCAGAGTGGCCTGGCTCATGGCTGAGGTTGTCAGGAGCTTCAGGCAGAGCAGGGGCCGGAAGGGTCCCGAGGGGCCCCCTTGACATTCACGGGCTTCTGCAGCGCTTGGAGCCCTGGTGTAGCCCTGCCCTGAGATGGGGGCCAGGTGCAGCGAAGCTGGGGTGACAGAAAACCAGACAGCAACTAGGATGGGGCTGTGAGGACTAGAGCTAAGCAGAAGCAGTGTGCTTGTCCAGGGGTTGGAGGGCTGCCTGGAGGAGGTGACTTCAAGCTCCAGAAAGAAGGCACAGGAGGTGAGGAGATGAGCAGAGGGTGTCTGGAGAAAGGGCCGGCCTGAACAAAGGCAGGGCGGCAGGAAGGGGGAGGGGAGAGGCTGGGAAAGGAAGGCCGGTTTGGCTGCTTGGCCAAGTCACCTCCGTGAGCACTGCCCCACCCGGCTCACACTCACAGCTGCCTCGGGAAGGATGGGCCAAGTGCCCCCCTCACCCCCACAGAGCCCGGGCCTGCCTCCACACACAGCCACAGTCCAGACCCAGACAGACCCACTCAGAACCAGGCTCTGGGGACCTGGAGAGGAGATGCCCAGAGACTTTATTGCCATTCTGCCCAACAAAGGCCTTCAGGCTTTGCCTGAGAATGGGCTGGAAAGCAGCCCCAGCAGGGGGTCATGCCTGAGACCCTCCAGCAGGTCACAGGAGGAAGGAATGGCTTACACTGCAGCAGGAGAGCTTCAGGTTAGACACCAGGCAGCACTTCCTGAAAACATGAGGGCTCCTTATAACATGCGGAGGCCCAAGTAGTGTGCGAAGTCAGGGCAGAGAGACAAGCCCAGGCATGCGGTCTGTGCAGCACGGTCCAAGAGCCAGAGCAAACCCAGCATGAGACTGTGGGAGGGCCATGCGACCGAGTGGGAATGGGGGTGTCAGCTGGGAACTGGCCTGGGAGGCAGGTGGAAGCACCCAGCCTCAGCGGCCCAGTGGGGCAGGGCACAGGGGCACGGGTGGGTGAGAGGATGCTGAGCCCTGGCTGGGCCCTCGGTGCTCAGGTCTGGTCAGTTTCTTCAGGAAGACCTCCCTCTAAACCGTGTTCTGCCCCAGACACCCCCAGGAGGGGCTCTGCAGACCCTACACTGGCTGGGATCCATCTCAGCCTCCCGGCTCTGTCCCCCTTGGATATGCCCCTGAGCCAGGATCCAGCCACACATACTAGAAGCTGGCTGTGGGGTGTCAGCCCCGCCTGGGTAGGGACTTACCGGGCCTGGGGCCTGGGCACTGACCGCACCCTCCAGACTCTGTAGAAAGGCCACCACTGCCAGGTTTCCAGCTGCCTCCGCCTATGGGCAAGCAGTGGGGAGGGACTGCCTTGGGCCACTGACCAGCGGCTGGCCCAAGGATTCCCGTCCCCAGGACTCCCTTCCCTGCTCCCAGCCCACGCACACAGGGCCCAGCGGCTCCTGTACTCTCTTCATCCCCACCACTCAGGGCTCTGAGAAGGGGACGGCGTCCCATGGTCCTGCCCAGGGAGGGCTGGGCATTTGGGGATGGGGCAAAGGGGCAGCTGGTGAATTGTCTGGGTGTCCTTCCTGGAGGTGGCAGCCTTTGGAGAGGGTGCAGGGGGAAGGGGCACTCACGACATGCAGGGCGCTGTGCCCGTCATAACCCAGCTGCCCCAGGTCAGCCCCTGCCTGCCACCACACCTCCAGGCCTTTGAGGTCAGCCCTGGATGCCAGCCTGGGGGTAGGATAGAGGAGGAATTGTTGGGGCCCGCTGGGCACCTGTCCATCTGCCCACCTGCTTGTCCCCCAGGTGCCCTGGATGCTCTTACAAAGCCAGCCCCAGACAGCTGACCCAGTAGTGGCCTGGTCCTGGGGCGATGGGAAGCCTGGAGTCTGGTGTCACCCAGTGGGTGGCACTGTGACTCAGGTCAGTGTGCACCTGCACACAATGCAAACGCACCTGAACACGTGCACACACACCAGCATGCATGCACACACAGGAGCCTGTGCACACACACATGCACACCCACCCGCCAAGCGCCCCACGCTAGTTTCACGTTTCACAACACCATTTTTCCCGGGGCAGGGTCCACATGGAGGAACAAACTGGCTGCTTCAAGCAGCCCAGTGGTTGAGAGAGGGGGACACAGGGGGCCCTGGGATGGCGGTTGGGCTTGGACCCTAGCAGACTGCATGGGGTTCCTGGCTAGGACAGGGGTCTGGGCCCAGCTGCCCAGGATTGGCAAGCCAGGCCCTCACCAGCTCCTCCTCACCCTGCCACCCTCCTGGGAAGAACCCACTCCCCACCTGGGGAGGCCAGGAGCAGGCCAGGTGGTGACCCCACAGGGAGGGCCCCACCCCTGGTGTGCAGTGGGGGAAGTGGCATGGCGAGGGAGGGGCTGCCCCCTCCTCTGGAGGGCCCTTAGGGGCTCTGCTTCAACCCAGGAAACAGCGGCAGCCCTGCAGTGAGTTCTCTGGATGGTCCCACTGGCCCCTCCTGAACTCACCCCAAGAGGCCAAACCCCACAAACACACTGGCCCCTAGGAAGGCCTGGCTGAGGGGCTCATGTCCACCCAGCAGCTGGCCAGGCCCCACTTCCCAGCAGAGTCCTGGACCAGGGTTCTGGTCCCAGCTCCCACAGGACCTGACTACTGCCTCAGTTTCCCCATCTGTCAATGGAGCCAACAAGACCTGCCTAGAGTGCAAATCTGGACCAAGTCACCCCAGACATCCCTTTAAAGGCAAGCCCAGGGGTTGTGGGCCCATCCCAGAGGAGGAGCCAGGGCTGCTGGCCCACCCATTCCCCACTCAGCCAGTCCACCGAGCCTCCGCCAGCACCCACTACCCAAGCTTGGGACTCGGACTTCCAGGGACACACCCCGACACTCAAAGCATCCCCACCCCGGCCACCACCTGCACCCTGCCCAGGTCCCCTCCTGCCTCTGACTCACCCTTTGGGTCCCTCGGAGCCATCCTGGCCTCAGGCAGCCCAGGCCGGGCACAGGAGGCAGCACCAAGTCACCAGGCATAAGGTGGGGGAGGGGAAGTGCCTCTGGCTGCCACAGAGCTCCCTGCAGCACTGGCCCACCTCCACTCAGCCCCACAACCAACACCCGCACCGAGGGCCTCCCTGCGCCTCAGTCTCCCCAACAATCACATGACGTCAGAAGCCCTGAGCCTGCCTCGGTGGTCACTTAGGCAGCACGTGGTCAGAAGGCACATTGGCCACCGGTGCCATGAGGCCAGCAGGTGGGGGCTGGGCCTAGGTCAGTTTATCCCAGGACAGGAACCACACTGGGGAGAACAGAGCTCACAAGACCTGTCACCTGCCAGGGGCCTCAGCTCCCCTGTGCCCCACCTGCCCCAACCTCCCCAAATGCAGCCCCAGCCACCCTCCAGCCCATGGCCCAGCCTCTCACACCAGACCACCAATTCCCATACCCCTCCTCAAGGCCGCCACCCATACACACACACACGCACACATGCACGCATGCACACACATACACACACACACGCACACATGCATGCATGCACACCCACACACACACGCACACATGCACGCATGCACACACATGCACACACACACCCATGCTGGACTGTTCGCTCACCTGGCAACAGCCCCTTCCCCTGCCCCATGCCATGGTGCAGGGCAGACCCCTCTTCCAGTCAGCCAGGACGGTGCACACGGAGGTCAGCGGGCCTCTCCTCTGAAGCCCCCACACCCTAAGTGACTTGTCCCTCCCAGCAGGTCTGACTTCCCTTCCCCGAGCTGTGTCCCCCACATCCCTGAAGGCACAGGTGCTCCAGCCAAGCTGACCTGCATAGCTCTGTCCCTGCCCCCTCCAGCTCCTGGGCAGACAGGGAGGCCCCGGCCGCCCGCAGCAACCCCACGACGCCGGGATGCCTGCGTAAGAAGGAGTGCGCTGACCTTCTGCTCTGGCCAGCCCAACCCGGCTGCACCTCACCCAGGAGCCAGCAGGACTCAGGTCCTGTGCATGGGGACAGGGACCTGCCTTCTCAGGACCCCATAGCCCTAGCCTCAGACAAGGGCCCCTCCCCCTAATTCTCTGCCCCAGCCCATGTGACATCATCTCGGGGTCCCGCCACCTCCATATGTCCAGGACACCTTCCTAGGACAGCTCAGGTCTGCAAGGAGGGGGGTTCAACTCTGCGGCACCCCCGCACCCAGCCCCACAGGGGAGGGCATTGGCTCCTCCCAGCTCGGTCTGCCCCACCCATCTCAAGGGTGAGCCCAGCTAGAGGACAGCCTCACAGGCGCTGACGGGCCCCACTGCACACCCCGACGTTGATCATGTCCCCTGACCTCCTCGGCCAGGCCCGGGGAACACAAGCAATCCTGCTGACTGCCCTTGGGGTGGGGTGGGGGCAGGAAGCAAGGACAGTGGAGTCTGTGGGGGCGGGGGCAGGGCTCTAGCAAGGCCTTGGAGCAGAGGCACAAAGGCCTGAAGCCACAGAGCCCATTGGATGGGGTGACCTAACCTTTGCGCCATCACTGCTGACCACGTCCCCCACCTCTGCCAAGCACCACAAATCCCTCCCCCCGTCACCCTCATTAGGAGGCTGGGGACAGGTGTGAGATGGTAGCCTCGCCGAACCGCACTTGGGCACAGCAGGGCCAGGCAGGCGGCCTCCGGGAGCCTGGTGGGGGAGTGACGCTGGGAGACCGGTGGGGAGGCTGCTGTGAGCCTGGTCCTGTGAGTCCGGAGGGGACGAGGGGCCAGGACTGTGTGAGCTTCCCTCCTCACCACCCACCCACGCCCAAGGATGCCCCGTCCAGGATCTCCAGGCTGGATCACCCCTTCATAGCCCCTCCCCCTCCTGTCCACCACCTTGTTCTCTCCTGCTGCTTTGAGTACCCCGTCAATGCTCACAGGCCCTGGAAAGCATCTTCTACGCCAGTCCTCCCCTTCACAAAGGGCGCCATACGCCACCCCAGGGCTCACCGTTGGGGAGGGGACCCACAACTGGGCACCTCGGGGTCACACGACCTGCACTTCTCTCCACGGACTCCTGAGTACTCCCTCCCCGAAAAGAACCCAGGGTCCTGCAAGCCAAGTCCTCACTCCCAGGGGCAATCTCCAGGAGCCCTGGGGTCTCCGAGAAGGCATGTGGGTCTGGGCACTGGCACTGGCAGACAGGCCCTCCACCTTCCCAGGCCCAGGCTGCTGGGCATCAAGGGCAATAAACAGTAGGAAGGGGGAAATGACCCCATCCCACCAGTGCCGGCCCCGCCCCCGCTCCGCAGGGCACATACTCGCACTCTGCCTCTGTCGCCACTCTGGGCTTAGGGAACAGACGCCTGCCAGGGCTTGCTGGGTGGGGCCAGGGACTCCCACATGCACGGGCTGGACCTGTCTTCCAGGCCCCAAGTGGCCTGTCGCACCCCAGATCTGCTGCCAGCTAGCCTGCTTTTTACTTACCCTGTCTGGCTACTGGGCCAGGACCTTCTGCCCCACCTCCACCCCAACACCCCACATCCACAGGCGCACAGGGATGACTCAGGGAGCACCCGGGCACCCCCCACATCCATAGGCGCACGGGGATGACTCGGGGAGCACCAGGGCACCCCCACATCCACAGGCGCACGGGGATGACTCGGGGAGCACC